AGTTACTAGCTCTACTAAAGAGAGAATCCCCTGCTGCTATTAAGCTATCAAGATTCCTGCAACTTGTAGTGAGGTTTGTGTCGTCGGCATAACATATTATTCCTTCTATTGGTGAAACTCTGATTGAACATAGGTCATTTAGAAAAATAACAAACAAAATTGGTCCCACTATACTTCCTTGAGCAATTCCCATATTACACTTGGCAAGATCCGAAAACCAGTTTTGACCTTCTTTCGATATTTTTACCTTTTGATCTCTATCTGTTACATATGATTCGAACAACTTTAAGGCATTTCCTCTAACACCATATAGCTCCAGCTTTCTCAATAATATTCTGTGGTCAATGCAATCATAGGCTTTGGATAAATCCAAGCACATGCCAAAAACAAGGTTTCCCTTTTCAATGTTGTTAAGGAGTGTTTTAATAAATTAAAAAATTGCAGTGTCAGTTGATTTGCCACGCAAATATCCATGTTGATGTTTGTTAAATAGATTACATTTATTCATGTTCTATAAGTCTATGAGACATTGCTAATTCAAATACTTTTGAAAAGGCTGGCAATAGACTTATTGGTCTGTAATTTTCAATTGAATTGTGGTCACCTTTTTTGAAAAGAGGTTTTACTAGAGACGTTTTTAATTTTTTAGGGAAGATGCCCTGTCTGAAAGAGTTGTTTATAATATAGCAAAGAATTTCTGTGATTACAGGTATAGTTTTTTTCATGATGCTTATCGGTAGTTCATCAACTCCACTACTATGCTTATTTTTTACAGATTTTGCAAGTTTACCTATTTCTGTTGGAGTCACTGGTCTTAAAAACATTGACTGGTTATTTGATTCAATATTTATAGTCGTTGGTGTTGGATGCTTTAACTCTTTCAAAAGACTGGGAACCACAGATAAGAAATACTCATTGAAGTCGTTTGCTATTTTTTCAGGATGTTCTTCAAGCTCGATGTCTGCATTTTTATTTGTTTCTCCGGATATTTCTCGGCATATGCTCCACATACACTTTGATTTATTGTCGGATGAAGTTAAAACGTTTTTCATAGTTTTTTAACCTCACCGCCCTTAACAAATTCTTTTTTTGTATTTTTATATTGATCTTTATACCTATTATCTACTCTTGAAAGTGTTAGCAAAATATCTAATTTATTTTTGCAGAATTTAATTTGTTGATTATCTATATTTTTATATTTTCTTGAGGTTTGCGTAATTGACCTGGTAGGAAAGCAATGATTAAAATTTGCAGTAAAAATATTTACAAAGGTATTCCATTGACTATTAACCTCTTTTTTGTTTATGTTGTATATTTCAAACCAGTCCTCCCCTTTCATTAAATCCAAAAATAATGATTTATTTTCATCTGAAAAAATCCTCCTTTGTTGTATAATATTTTTTTTGGGCTAGTTTTAGTTTAATAGATATTTTTTGTGCGGTGTGGTCAGAGATAAACGTGTTTAAAACATTTGTCTCTACATAATCTATGTTTATGAAGATATTGTCTATACATGAGGCTGAATTGTGAGAGATTCTGGTGTTTTTAAAAATTGATTGTTTTAAACCAAAAGATTGTATCACTGATAGAAAATTAAGTTTATCTGCACTATCCTTCAACAAATCTATGTTAAAGTCGCCTGCGACCAGGACTATTTTGTGTTCAATGCACACAAGTTCCAACAGATGTTCTAAACTGCTTAAGAAATCGTTAATTTTACCTGATGGTGGTCTATATACACATATGATTACAAGTTTAGATTTTTCAAAATTACATTCCACAGCTGAATACTCAAATTCATTAGTCACCGAAAGTTTGGTAATAGTGTGTCTTGGTTGAAAACTGACACTTTTATGCACATACACTGCACATCCCCCATGTTGTCCTAATTGTCTGCAGAAACTTGCTCCCAATTTAAAGTTGTGTAAAGTTAGATATTTCAACTGATCCTCCGTTTTCCAATGCTCAGTAATGCACAAAATCTTACATTTTTCATGATCTTTCACCATGTCATTTAATCCATCAACAGAATTACCTAGTGACTGTACGTTTTGATGAAATGATACTAATATCTTCTAGAACTGTTTTCCATTTATTTTGATATGTTAGTTTTTTACCTTTTTTATTATCATATTTAATTGGTACTGATTGAACTTCTAAAAAAACTCCTCATTATAATTTATGTTATTTTTAAACCTCTCCAATCTTCTTCTGTATACTGGACAATCTTTATCTCTTGCCGAGTGGTTAGTATCTGACAGTTTCAATTTTTGGCAGTTTGGGCATATTAATACATTTGTCTTGCATTCTTTTGACGTATGTTGCTCTCCGCATTTGTAACAGCATTCTTTTTCTATGCAGTATTTTGCTACGTGTCCAAAACCTGCGCATTTAAAACAAATTGCTAAGTTGATATGTTCTTGCACGTACACGGTTACTAAGTCAAAGAATACCTTCTGTTTTTTCAAAAACCACTTTGTGATGTTTGGTGGTGCTTGTAATATCCAGTTCTCTTTATTTTGGTTTCTGCATTGTTTCTTAGCTACCACTTTAATTTTATCACAAATACTGGTTTCTAATTCGTTAACAATATCATAATTTAATGTTTCCAGCTCTTTAATAAATTCTATATCTGAGAATCCTTTTTCAATTCCGGTTATCATGAACATAGGGTTTGAGATTACATTTTCTTTAAATTTAATGTTTTCTTTGTTACTTATTGCCATTTTTAATTGTTTTTGTTGTTCTGTGTCATAACTTTCCACTACCAAGGCTCCATTCTTTGTTTGTTTTATGGTTTTAAAGGCTTTTCCCATTTCTTTTATGTCAATTTGTTGCTTTAACGTTTTTATTGCTTCTTTGGAGTTAGTAACATTTTCAAATCTTATAATTGTTTCATGTTTTCTTGTTGTCTCTGGGGTCTTCCATTTTTCCGATATTATTTTTGATGCATTTGTATGCTGATCTCCGTTTTGGTTTTCATTTGCTATTTGGGCATATGTTTTTTTATTTTGACTGAGGTCTCTATCATTTGGTTTAGAAAGGGATTTTTCTTTATTCCTTTGACACATTCTTTGTTCTAGGGTTATATTTTTCTTTTCCAGCTCGCTCACTTTAAAAACTAACACTGTTAGAGCTCTATGTATTGTGTCCCGCGCCTCTCTTACTGATTTTTGTTCACTTTGGGACAAATATGTTTTTTCGTCTTGTTCCTCTTTTCCAGTTCAGTTCAGTTGATCTAACGCTGTAAATACATTGGTGATGAGTTCTTCCGAGGCTGCCGGCTTTATTCTCATATCTTCATTTTTTTGAGTCTCGATTTCAAAGTTTATTGTTCTTCCACACAATCTTTTATTAGACGTTTGTTCTTGTTCTGGGCTTGAGGCATCTGATCTTAGTCTTTTACTATTGTTTTCTTCAGAAGGATTTTCCACTATTAGATCGTTTCCCGTCATTGGAGGTGTTCTATTTACGGAATGTCTTGGATTAAAAATAGTGTCGTACATTTCCCTTTGGCTTTTCGAATTTTTTACAGTATCGATGTTTTCGGAGCTCCCTCGTATTTCCTTACTATTCGTAAAGCGTAAATTAGAAATAACTTGATTATAACGAGATTCATAATGATTTTGTTCAATGGAAAATACTTTATTTGTTAGAGTAGAATCTGGTTCAAAATTAAATGTTTTTATCTCAATTGGATCGACTTGAATAGTTTTGTCTTCTTCTAGAAAATTTACAATACTTACGGTTGCTTGATCATTTTTAAAGACGTTATACACCTACTCAAAAGTATTCCTTCTTCTAAAGCACGATTTTCGCAATAATATATACTATTGATTGACTCTGAATTAGAATCTATTTTCGATTTAACAACATTTAAATTTACGATAGTTTCGCTACGCGCTGGTAATTTAATTGTTTTTGAATTATTTTGACATGTTTTTGTTACCAAAATTGAAAATTTTTTAGATTTAGATTTCTCTAATAAATTACAATTATTATATTCTAATTGATTACATAAACAATTATAAAATGGAATAAGTTTGTCATCGAAAATTAATTGTGAAGTTTCGTAGTCTATTTTTGCATTAAAAATATCGAAAAATTCGTTACCTAAAATTCCATCGCAATTTATTAAAAAATTATCGTAAACTATTTGAAAACAAATAGGTTTGTTGTAATAATTAGATATTTCAAAAACTGCCCCTTCTGTTAAAAGGCTGTCGTTGGTTATACCCGAAATTTTGGTAAGTAAAGATTTATAAATGTATGCTGATTTAATTAAAACTGATTTTTTTAAAATATTGACAGTACTTCCTGTATCTATAAGTAGTTTAGCTTTACTTTGGACTGATATTTGCAAGGGTAAATCTACATAATTTAAAGGGCTGACCTGTGAATTGGTATTATAAATGGTTGTTTTTGGATTGTCTGTGGCGCTTAATTGTTCTGGACCATCGAGTTGCCACTTACCGACGGCTGTTGCCCGTTTCCCGAATTTTTATTTTTATAAGATTCGTTTACCGACGGATGATAATTTTTTTGATTCTGAAACTTATTTTTCTGCGACTCGTTATACTTTCGTTTAAGACAATCTGCAATGAAATGGCCTGGCTTTATACAATAGTTACACGTAAAATTGTAAACTTGAAAAGTTTTTTCAGTTTCTATATTGGAATTTCTCTTAAGATAACATTGAGGTGCAGTATGCCCAATTTTTTGACAATTGTGACATTTTACTTGAGGTTTTGGACTAAACGGCATAAACTTTCGATAATTTGTATTATTACTTAATAATTCTCTTTCTTCCGACCTAGCTAACTCAATTGCGTCTTCTAAAGATTTTGGATTTCTTGCTTTAACTTGCATTTTAATTGTATCGTTTAGACCCTGAATAAAAACGTTTATGGCTTGATTTCGCAATAACGTACAAATTTCAGCTGCGATTTCGGTGGTTTTACCTACCGAAGAAGCATCGCATAAATTTGACAAAATTCTTTCTATTTTATTTGCAAAAGATGCTCTTCTTGTCTACTTTGTTTACAACTATTTAATTCTAACTGCCAGAAAGAAATAGAGCGTTTTTCTGAAAACACATCCTCTAAATAATCTTTTAAATCTACCCAATCAAAAAATTGTTTATACTTGGTTAAGGAACGCGCTTTGCCTGTTAATTTAGTTTTTATAATATTAAACAAAATTTCATGATTGTCTGGATTGACTGAACTAAAAACCATATCGCAAGAATCGATAAAATCATGGGCTTTATCGGATTTGGTTTCGCCATTGTACTCTTTTAATAATCTAACTGCGGTGTCTAAAGAAATATAGGAAATCGTATTTCCTACTGCCTGTTCTTCATTATCGTTTGGCATTTTGATTTAATAAACTTTATTATAAGATTTTGTTCAAGTTTTTAATGCAGTTAACAAAACAAACAAAAGGTACTTACATAAATTTCATAGTGTGTATCCTATTTTTAAAACAGATTCACAAAACACTAATTACTTTTCACTTTCCGAACTTTACACTTTTAGATGTGGACAGAATAGTTGACTGGAGGATGAGTACTTGCTGTCTTCTATTTTCTCAATTCTGGAGGGGACTTTAAGCCGTCGGTCCGTTCCTACCCCTAACCCGCACAAGCCATTCAGTTGGCTTATGGGACATCTTAGTTTGGATGTAAGGGTGGAACTAAAAGAGCACTTTATTTATCTAAATACTTTATTTATTATTTGGAACGCTGACTAAACGGGAACTTGCATTTTCTATAACCTGGACTTCTATAATCTTGGTTTTCTGAATTTCGGATTTTCTGACTTCTGAATTTCGGATTTTCTGACTTCTGAATTTCGGATTGTCTGACTTCTAAATTTCGGATTTTCTGACTTCTAAATTTCGGATTTTCTGACTTCTGAATTTCGGATTTTCTGACTTCTAAATTTCGGATTTTCTGACTTCTAAATTTCGGATTTTCTGACTTCTGAATTTCGGATTTTCTGGCTTCTAAATTTCGGATTTTCTGGCTTCTAAATTTCGGATTTTTGACTTCTAAATTTCGGATTTTCTGGCTTCTAAATTTCAGATTTTTGACTGAACTAAACTCTTTTTTTCTAACAGTTCAATTTACGGACAAACACTTGCACTTTCACGAGATGGTTCGTACAACACTCGCGAGTTGTAGAATCTGCACCGCTGCCACCAAAATTTTGTAGTAACCTACCTTTCTTGGAGTTTCTAGAGTCCTGAAACTTGATAGGGTTACTTAAAGTCTCGTGAAAAAGTTTAAATGTGGCTATATTTAAGTCCTGTAAATTTACAGTTGTAGATGAAGGGTTAACTTAGACTAACTTAAAGTAATTTCAAACAAATATTTGTTGCTTACTGAAAAACAGTTTTAGTATTTTGTCAACAATCATTTATGCTTAAGAACAATGAAATAGAATATGGAAATATTTAATTGTATCATAACTTATTTCTATTTATACTCAGCAAAAAGGCATGTTTGCTCAAAATACGTCGCTCAACACAAAATGTATTTTAATATTATAATGTAGTACTAGGAATTAAAAGTATTTGATAACTAACACATTTATCAAAGGAAATAAGCTATCAAATGAAATGGGTAGTTTATTACAATAGCTAACCAAGAGATTTTAATGCAAAGGCAGCAAGTTATTATTGATAATTTTAAACATTCAGCTTGCCCAGAAAACCAATTAAAAATTATGCAACAACTTGCTAAACTAGAAGTTATGCTAGACAGTTTAGCCAGTAAATCACAAAATAACACATGCTCTTGCAAGACTATAAGTGAAAGCTCTTTGTTAGAAACCAAAGATGATATTTTCTTTGATCAAATTGATACTTCGTTAGAGCTTCAGGAGCTCGAAGCCAAATTGGCAGATCAGATGAATATGGAGGAGTACATAAAAAAATTTCGTTATGTTTTCGGAAGGAAAGGGTCCAGCAGTGGAATAAATAATTGCTACACACTAGTAGACAAACTCTTCTCTAGACAATTATTTACATTATGTTCCTGGGCTGGGGGCTCAAGGGATGGAAAAGAAAAAAATCCCTTTAAAGTATTTAAAAATATCCTTAATTTATTCTTCAGAGTGGTGAGGCTATCTGATGACTCATTAACCCTAAAAGATTGTGAAGAATTTTTTAAGGGTATCATAAGAAATTCCACCAAATGAAATGAAAGTGGCATGGTTAGAAGTTCAGTAAAAAAACGAAGACCGAGCACTATCTTATAAGGGTCATTCCAATGAACTTGTGCAATTTTGAGGAATCCAATTTGGAAAAAAAAATACTAATTTTGGATCAAACTAGATGTTGTTTACTTTTCTAATAGGAAGTACTACTCCTATAAAAATATAGCTATGCTTAACTTCTTCTATTTTCCATAAAATTTAAAAAACTAAAAATATGAAGTTAACAGAAGTGAGGTGTTGATTAACGGAGGTGAAATGTTACTAAAAATACAATAAATGTTACAATAAAAATATTTATTTTGTAATTTTTAAAGCTAAAAATATTGCAACTTAATAGTACCTAATAATAGGTACCTATGTGTAACACATTTTTGGAAAAAAAATCGTAATTCTTCAAATTGGAATAAAAAAATAAAAAGAATAATGTAAGTTAATTAAAGTAAGTATTTTTAAACTACATGAATACAAACTATATAAATGTAGGTAGATTTTAGTTCTACCTTTTATAGTATTTTAAGGTCATGTGGTAGGTTTTTAAACAAATAGTGCTGTCTATTGTTAACTCTTGGCATAGGTAGAACAAACAAAATTTCGTTTTTCATGACAACAGAAACATCTTCCTTGTCAGAAAAAATAAACTTATTTTTACCACACTTCCTTAAAAACTTTACTGTGTACTCTTCTTCTATGTAATGAACCTCAACAATTACACCAATCAAGTTTTTTACAGTCTTTTTTCCTTTTAATTGAACAACAACATAATCGTTTTTATTTGGATTTGAATCTTTTGACTTTTGGTTATTTTCTTCTTCACTATCAGAGTACACATCTCCATATGTCAAACGTCCATTTCCTGGAACCGAAGGATTTTTTTTCTGAACACTTGGAGCTACAAAAACTGTTAAGGAAAACAAGATGAGAAAATTTTAGGCGCCCTGGGAATTCGAATCCACGACCTCTTACATATAGTTGAGCTGTATATTATACACTTGATTATTTCATTTAAAAAAAATATGAAAGTATATTTCTAAATAAGGATAAAGTAAGTTTTGGCGTATAAAAAACATATACAAAACCCTATGCAACTTAATTTATAATAAAAGGATACTCGAAACCATTGAGTTTGGATATAAATTTTTTTCAAAAGTTACTTCAACTGGTAATGGTAATTGAATCAAGCCCAATGGAAAATGGCTACAAGTAGTAGACTCATCGCATTTCAAGCAGCAAAGTTTTCTTGCCTGGAGAACATTTTGCGCTCCTTCAGACCATGTAAGCTCTCGGATAGCCATTGTCCCTTTAAAAGGCTTTAGGCTTAAAGGTAGAGTTTCGTCGATATCTTGTATTCTGCTACTTTCAATTGTTAGACACTTTATACCTTTACAGTGTTTTTTTAGGTTTAAAATAAGAACCTCAAAATTTGGAATGTCTATGCCTTGGCTGACCAAATTGTCAGCTGTTCTTTTTAAACAGCCACCTACGCCGTCAGGTGCCCCCTTACCATGGCCAGGTTCGCTAAATATCCAACGTAACCTTTGAACACCCAGTTTTTTGGCAAGAAAGTTAACCATTAAGAAAAACATCTTTTTATTTTTATATTGCGTTGATGGTCCATCGGATAGGAAAAAGGCAGTTCTTAACTTTTTTAAGCGATTCTCTATTACGTCTCTGTATAAGTTTGCCTTGAATAGCTTGTCTGGACAAGTTTTCTTGAGATCCAGCCGGTATGGGAATTATGGGTTGAAACATAATAGGAGATGCAGGTGGCGTGTTTTCTCGAAGATCTCTTTCCAGTTTTTGATCTCCTTTTTTTTATCATATGACTTTTTACTCCGTGCTCTCCACTCTTTTCTCGTTTTTCTCTTTTCTCTGGTACTCATTTGGTCTATTTTTTTAATCTTTCCTGTTGCCTTTCTAGCTAAATACCGCTCTTTTTCTTTCCTTTTTGATTCCTCATACAAAACTGGATCGTTTTTAATTTTTTCACGCAGCCTTCTCATACTTTCCCTAGAACGTTCTCGTTGCAATTGCCGAGATCTATCCGTTTCGACCTTATTCTTCTTCGTAGATGTCTTGGCCATTATAACTTAATAGCATATATAAAATGTATTTATCTACTCCCCTGTAGAAAAAAAACTAGGTCAATAAGAGGCTTTTAAAGTGAATTCTCACAACCGTTAACTGACCCTCACACCCGTTAATGAAAGTTATTAACGGATGTGAGATTAACGGTTGTGAGAATTCCATTTAAATATCCCGCTTTTTTGTCACACTTCAAATATTACAGACCCTAACCTATAAGTACGCGAAACATTTCAACAAAACAAATATTAACTATCAATTTAATTACTAATAATTATGAACTTACCTTGATTATATCTCTTAACAGTAGTGAGTTTTAGCTTTACCAGGTGGAATTTATTTTACAAACATGCTTAAAACGAAAAAAATTACTGGATAAAACTTCTAAAAACCACACAACACCACTGTGCCTTCGATAACAAATAAACTAGTTTTTTAAAAAAGGTAAAGCGCCACCTGTATTTCCATTTTGTAAATTTTAAACTGTTTTAACGGTAGTGAGAATACATAGGGAAGACAATGATATTTATCGGTTTTTAGAACAACCGCTTTTAGTAAACGACTTATCACTTGTAAACAAATAAAGCACAAATCAATGTTATTAAGATTACTAATAAACTAATTTTTTAACAATTACTGTTTAGTCAGAAATAATATTTATATTCATCAGGCCTTTACTTGGGACAGTTAACGAACGTGAGATTTCACGTATAGTTAAGCGAATAAAAACTATTTAAATTAAAAATAAAAAAATAATAAGTTTACAATCCTTTTAAAAATAACGTATACTTTAAAAACATAAAATAAACAAAAAAATTTAAAAAGTAAAATTCGAGATTTTAGGCCGAGACTTCAAATTGCACAAATTCGTCGGAACAACCCATAAGTAGTACTTGTTAAAAAAATTCGTAAAGTACGAACTTTAAGCAATAGCGCGTAGCTAATGGCGTTTGTATATTTTTTCAGGCTCTAAAGGAAAAACTGCTTACTAATAATAATATTATAGAAGAAACCATAGGAGAAAATATTTTGGAAGTGGAAAATAAAAGCAATAATAATAATATTCCTGAAGAAAAATATGACGCATCAGAGATAAGCAGCGATGAAAAAGAGGAAACGAAATAATTGCAGTTTTTATTACATTGCATTTTTATTACATTATTTATTTTTTATGTTATGTTTACATTGTTACCTAGTTCAGTTGTCAGTTCATACCTAGTTTAGTTAAGATTTAGCGAATTTTTGAACAACCCTTCAAGATGTTTACATTTTTGTATTACGTACTTAAAGAGTGCAATAAAGGAATAAAAAAAGTGTCTTCTTTATACTTTATGGCTACCATTTTACACTTAACGTTTTTAACTGAGTATAATTTTAGTTCCGTATGTAGATTAATACATCGAGATTTAAATATATTTAAATAGGAGGATTTTGCAGGGATTTCAAAAACATCTTCTAAATCATTCACAGTACCTCCATTAATAAAAGCAATATTGTTTATTACTAAGGCATGTTTCATAAATACAATTTCACCATTATTAGTAAGAAACCACTTATAAGTATTATCTACAGACAGAGAAAACCCTTGAAACTCAATTTTAAAGAATAAGCCTGCATCATTTTTAAGATAGGAAATGAGGTAAAGGTATTATTGTTTACACCAGGGGCGGACCGTTGACTTTAGGGGCCCTGGGCTAAATCATTAATAATAATATATAAACATATTTATATGTAACAAAACAACAAATTCTTACGTCAAAAATAAAAAAAAAACAAGAAAAAAAAACACTTATTCTTAATAAAATAAATAATATGAATAAAACATTCTAGCATTTATACAAGGTGTCCCGATAATACCTGTACAAGGCAAGGCAACATGTTTCCTGGTTTAAAATAATCCGACTTAACCCAACTTACAAAAATAATAATTGCTTTGTTTAGATGCTAGCGGCCTTTAAAGTATGTAAAAAAGATTATTTTATAATGCAGTATATTACACTGGAAATGTGTGTCTATACCTAACAAAAATTAACTATTTTTTTTCTATAAAATTGAGTAGCCACATGAGCCAATTAATATTATTATTTGCTAATCGCGATTTTACATTTAAATTAAGTATTAAGATTTTTTTATTTTGGAATTATATAACTTTTTAACGGATTAATTAACTAAAATGATTAGAACTTTTATTTTACAGAATTAAAGCCTCCACAATAAAGTTTACTTATTATTTTATGATAAATCTACTCAAAAAATTATTTAAGACTTAAGACAAATTCAGGGCAAATTTAAGGTTTTTATTACTTTCCCATTAAAACCATCATAACAAAATTTAGACAATGTACATTTTTTGTACATTATTTTATTTTATAAGAATATGTCATTATTTTTTTAATGTTTTATTTACTGGTTTAACCAGTATAAATACAAATATTTTTGTAATAAAATTATTATTTTTTTGAAATTAATTAGTATTTTAATCAGAAATATTAATTTGTAAAATTAATAACTGTAAAACTATAAGTTTTAAAAATTATAAAATTACACAATTTAAAAAAATAAAATGATCTAAGTCCTATAACGTCTGATAAATTTAGCTTTAAGCTTTTGAACAAGTAGATTTATTATAAAATAACAAGAGACCTCTTTGTAGAGCGTTTACTTTAAATAATCTTTAAAACATATTATTTTTAAAATATGTTATTTTAAATTAGAAATATATATATATATAATTCCAAAGTTTTTTTCATGCTATTTAAATAAAAAACAGAAAATCGAGACTGAATAATATTAAGAACTGAAATTTTAATAGGCTCAAACTTTATGCAACTATTAAGTAGTCGATTTTTTATTGTCTGATTTATGTAGGGGGCCCTTGATTGGACGGGGCCCAGGGCTGCAGCCCATAATGCCCATGCCTAAATCCGCCCATGGTTTACACATTCGTTTTCACATTGCATAATTTCACCCATTTTTTTTGCAACTTGTGCGAGTGGTAAATTTCCATTTCTTAACAAATTTTTAATTTGATAAAGTCGATTTTTGAAGGAATACGCATTAAAAGTCGATAAAGGTCCATACCTTCGCACTTCGTCAACTAAATGCGTTAGATTATGAACATTACCAGTTATGTAATCTTCTCCATAAATATTTCGATAATATTCAACATAATTATTGAACAGTGCTTCAGCTAAATTCAGAAAATGCACATAAAATTTGGATGAACATATTGTTGTTGCACAAAAATAGTTATACGGTATACGTTAAGGGGTTATACATCTTTAAGAATTATAATGCTTAAAGTATGTAAAAACGTGTGGTATTCTGAAGCTTTCCAATAACACAAAACATCTAACCCCCTCGCAGACCTGTGAATTTCAGAAGGTAATTTACAGTTCTCCAGAAAATTTGAAACATTAGCAATATCTTTTCCACATCATTTAGTTTTATACGTGCCAAAAATACTATCTCTTCATCCTACTAAACACCTTTTCATTACACCTAAATCAATTAGGTGAAGAGAATCCCCAACTGGAAAATCTTCAATCATATCAATAAGCAACAAAGTTAATGGAGTTTCTTGCTTATGATGTGTGCCATATAACTTTGTACGAAATCCGGAATCTGTTCTCTTTTCGCAGCCTGCTCTTGAAAAATATACTGTATGGGAAAGATGTGACTATTCTCCAATTGTGGTACACTTAAGACATCCATGTTTACTGTTAAAATTGGGTACACCTGGAAATGTTTAAACCAAAAGGTAAGCTAGCTAGCTAGGTAGCATATGTATATTGTATAAAAATATTACCTTTGATAAATGCCCTGGCTGGTGAGTCACATACAAAGCATCTTAATTTCACAGTAACTTGATTACCACCTATGATTAATCCATTTAAAAGAACGGTTTTAACTTCTTCGACGAAAGGTCCCAAAAATGCAGATAAATTTGAAGGTTTTCCCTTTCCACAGTATATGCCTATTATCATGAGTTTTATTTCAGGCAGTTCCTAAATATTAAATAGTATAGGCCAAAATTCACATTTACTACTTTTATAAATGGGCAGACCATCCATATTGATATTCACAGAAATCGATTTAGGCAAATCATGCATAGAAGTTAAAACAAAATTCAAACCCATGATGCCAATAATTACCATTATCTCCAATTTTAATCATCACAATTGACTTATATGTTTTCAAGAGCGTTCGGGGGTCTTGCAGAAGTACGTTAGGATATCTTTTATTTATATTTTGAAAAAGAGCTCGCAGTGCTGTCTGGGGGATATTAAAAAAAACTGCCCATTGTCTAACATTGTTTCTCAATATCTGTCACAAAATTATTTTCTTCACACTCTAATTCTAACAACCAATTTTTTTTTAATTCATCTTCATAATCACTAATTATCATTTCTCTGTCATTTAACTGGTCCACCGCCGTTGATAGATTTAATGCATTTTTATTATAAGCTTGTCTTGGGTTTTCGGTTTCCATAAGTAAAATGTTACTAGTAGGTACTGACACTTGTGAGGTCTGAAGCACCGTTTTTAAAATTGGTAGATTCCTGCTTTATGTTTAAATGATCCGTTTTATCATTGTCGAAACTGGTATCCTTATTATCACAACTGATCATTTTTTCGTAACATATTTTTAATCTTCTGCGGAAGGCGCCACTTTTCTTAATTTTTTTCCACTGCGATAATTGTGACATTTTTATTTCTTTTATATAGATATTAACACTCTCCAAACTCCAAACAATGAACACACTGAACCAATAAAAATTATGAACGCCACATCAGCTAATTCAACATAAATTTGTTTTATTGTAGTTAGCGATATGAAAATGATAACCATGAAAACAATTTAGTTTTATAAGAACTTTTTATTGCTTTTAAATTGTAACCCAAATAACATAATATAAAGCAGTTTTATATTGATCACTAGGGAAACACTTTACTTGAAGAAACTAAATAGTTTTCATTGATACTTTAATATAATTGTTTCATTAAAGCTATGAAACGCGACTATAAAATAGTTTTATAATATATTTATAAGAGTCTTAATAATGTCGCCGAAATTTATTAAAAACGTTTTTATGATAAATTTATAAAACATTTCATTTTTAACAACGGAATAGAGTTCATTGCTTCTCTTATAAAACTAATTAGTATTTTGGAAGTAATAATAAAATAAGAATAAAATAAAACAGTCGTAGAGCAATGAAATTATAAAATTACTTTGCTGGTTGGGTTGTGTCGACAAATCGTATTTTTCATATTAAAGGAAAATAAGAACAGTATTTACGTGAAAAATTGTTTATATGGATGGTGAACAGTGAAGATAAGTGCCAATAATTGACAAAAATGTAAAGAAAAGTGTTTTGGTAATGTGTAACCACCAAGTTGTATCGACAAATCATATTTTCCATTTTAAAGGAAAATAAGAACAATATTGACTTGGGAAATTGTTTAAGTGGGTAGTGAACAGTACGTTAAGTCGAAATTTATCAACAGAAGTGTCTAAAAAGTGCGTAAAATTGAAGAAATTTCAATGAAACATCTGGCTTCCAAACCGGCCAGAAGATTTTTTGAATTGGAAGCTAAAGAAGAAAAATATTGACGTGGGAAATTGTTTATATGGATGGCGAAAAGTCCGCTAAATTGTATTTTAACAAAAAAGTTTTGAAAAAAGTGCCCAAAATACAAGAAATTGTTGAAAAACTGCCAGCCTCGGCCACGCATTCGCAGTATGCACTCAGTGTATATAAAGTATATTATATAGACATGAACGTGTATGATATATATTTTATACACAGCACAGGATAGGATTTATAATAAAAATATGTATAATAAAAATAGAAATCAAATATATTATTGCATTTACAATTTTACTTTTCGAGCTTTTTGTTCAGCAAATAAATCTATGACCTTGTTATAATTTAATTCGATTTTCTATCGCTAAGATTGCAAGACTTGATAGAAGATCGCAAATAATTTTTAATTAGTTTTAGTTTGCTAAAACTTCGCTCACAGCTTGCGGATGTAGTAGGAAGCGTAGAGTAAATTAGCAGGGCAATAGGTACATACAAACTGTATAGAATCAAGTAAGTAAGGCTGGAGACAAGGATGACAAATTATATTCTGATCAGAGAAAAAGAAACAAACTTTAATTGGGCGTGGTTTAAACCAAGCCATTCGTAATTACGAACCATAGTTGCCAGGTTGTTTTAAATCAGAAGAGAACGATTATAATTATTTAATAAATAGTTCAATTTTATTAGTTTGAAACTTTAAAAATAACAGAAAAATTAATAATATGTCAAAAATAATTTGATTTAGTTAATTTTCTTACTTTTAATATTAAAAAATAAGAAAAACAACCCTTTTAGGAAACAATAATAGCATATGGCAACAGCGCGGCATGCAGCCAGATTGTAGCTACACTGGGTAAAGGCCTATTTTGAAACATATTTTGAAATAAAGTTTGTATTTGGCAATACGATCTACCAGTGTGATGCCATACCATAATTTGGTATTTTTCCTCACGGGTAAAAACCATTTTATTTGAAAAAATACTTTTTTATTCTTACAAAGACGTACACAAAGTCTCAGTGCACTTCTTAAACTGACGCACAGACAGTGTTGCCACCTTTTCAAAAGCGATATTCCCTTACTCTATAATGAAAATTCCCTTTTCCTACCTAAATTCCCTCAACCTCATTATCATTGTTTTTAAGGTTTGTTCCAGTAAAATGAGATAAAACATTAACAAAAAAATAAACTTTATTCCCAAAAAAATACAAAACATAAAAAAAAATATTTTTAACAAAAAAAAATCTAAAAAAATAAACAACAATAATACCGTTGAGTGAAGAACCCAACCCTATTTATCACAACGATAATACACTATGGAAACCTTAACACTACTTGTTTTTGAAACCATATTTTTTATTAGTATGAAGTTTAAGGTGTTCCTCAGTTACTTTAAAGTTTGAAATTGCATCATCACCTGAGAGTTGCATGCTATTTTTTATAACACATACCGAATTTAAGGAAGATTCTCCAATTCGATTCCTTTTTTTCGTCTTCGTATCCGTAACAATAGAAAATATTCGTTCCGCCTCAGCATTGGAATGAGGTAAAATAAGCGCCAACTTTGCAATTTTTCCTAAATTAGGAAATACTAATACCTCATCAAATCTTTTTTTTGTTGATATTTCCATCTACATTTCATCTATTGGAAGAGCAATTAGTCTTTTCTTATCAGATTCAGAAAAACACATGCTTAAGTTCCGCCATTCAATTGATACCTCAGTTTCAGTCACTAATATCTCTAAATTTTGCACACAGAATTTTGAAATTAATATTTCTTCTGGTTTCACTTTTATGAAAGGCTACATCCGGATGCAAGAACTGCATTTCTTGGAAAATGGGATCAGGCAGTCGCTTTTGTAGGTCTACAACGGCCGTAATATAGAATTTTAAACAGTTTTTTAAAAAATTATTTTTGCCACTCTCAGGCATTTGTTGTAACAGTGTCTCACATTCTGGGCCAACATAGATATCTTCTAAATTAAGTTCCTCGGACAGTCCAGCTGAATAATTCGTAGGTCCTGCTCCTGTACAATAAGTTCGTCTAAAAAGTTCTTGCATAGCTGCTTCATGAGGTTAATACATTCTTCATAGAGAATGTGAATTAATGGTCCACGGCTTTGAAAAAGTGCATTAAAAGTGTTAAACGTTCTCAGAACATACTTAAGAAAACATAAATATGCTTTTGTGTATATATTCTTTAATTCTGCATGAATTAATTCGGCACTTTTTAGTTTGTCCTCCTGTACAGCAATAATAAAATAGTGTTCCAAAACATTCCAGGTTTCTAGCACGCGTACAACACATTCATATCTACTTAACCATCTGGAAGCAGACAACTTAAGTATTTTAACTTCATTTTCGTTAAAATATCTTTGTATTTCTTGCAATTCCGCACATCTTTTTGCGCTACCAGATACGTAGTTATATATGTTTCTTAGCAGATCTTCTGGTGAACGAGGAAGTTCACTACATGCTCTTGAAGCTACTAGCGCTGCGGAATGACAAATACAGCGCATCAAAATAACATGGTTAATATTGTCCTGGAGGAGTTTAAAAAATGAATTGTTTTTGCCAATCATTACACTGGCCCCATCAGAAGCTACACCTACTATATTTGTTAATGGAATGTTATGTTTTCCTAAACCTGAAACAAATGCTTGATATATTTCCTTAGCTCCTAAATTTCTGGCGTCCAAATCTAATAATTGCAGCAGACGTGTTTCGATGGTATGATTTTCTGAATTAAAATATCGGGTGAGAATCACAAGACTTTTGTGGTCTCCGATATCTGTAGATTCGTCTAGTAAAACAGACAATTTTTCATTTTTGAGCAATGAAACCAAGTCATTGGTTTCCTTTTTGCAAAGCACATTATTTATTATTTCAGTGCATTTAGTTCTTTTTAATTTCATGCCTGCACAAATTTTGCTGTCTGGAAATGTTTTTCACTAAAGGTTCTAATTGGGCGATTAGTCGAAATGCCACATTATTCGCCGTAAAGAATGCCGATAACTTAATTTCTGCCTTTTTAACCGACTTTTCGTGTGTATTGTCAGGGTTTGTGTTAAACATTGTGGCAATATTTTGATTGTTCTGAATCGTCGTCATGTTATTTTTATGTTTATTCGTATTGGTGTGTTTTTGTAGTTCACTCTTCCCAGCTTTGACAGACGCATTACATACTTTGCAGCTAAAATACACATGTTTTGAATGTAAAATAAACGGTACAATAGGTACTTACATTGCCTTGTTTTTCGAGTTTTTGTTAGGCAAAAGCCATCCACGAAACTGCAGATTATTTAACCAGTAGGTTTTAAAGTTCTTATCGCTGCTAATCTTCTGTCTCTTGTTTTTAGCTGCTAGGAGTTGACTGTCATTATCCGAATCTCCATCGGTATCGCTTTCGGTATTCATTTTATTCACAAAACAGAACAGATTTTATTTGAAAGTGCAAAACAAAACTGCACACTTACACGTGTTGCGCAAAGCGGTGCGTTCTACATGGAGCATACAGCAGTGCGCAGCGCATGCGCCAGCTTACCTTTTTCGCATATTATAATGTTTTTTTTATTTTTTGGTTTTAGTCAATCAGGCTAGTTTAATTTATATTTAATAATTTTTGATATTTTGTGACCAAACTTAGGAAAATTCCCTTTTTTATTTAAAGATTCCCTTTGTCCCTTTTGGCAACGAAAATTCCCTAAAATGGGAAAATTCCCTCGAGGTGGCAACACTGCGCACAGATCATACAATGATACGGCATTGCCGTGACGGCAAGCAAACAAATTCAATCCCTACCACAGTGGGCGGGGTTTGGCACTTGTTTTATTTAAGTGTATCTATTCGTTTTAATGCACACTGTATATTAGGAAAAGCATCCTGCAAATCATGCGCATAGATCTGTTGCAAGAGATAGAAACCGTTAGCCTTTTCTATATCACCAAATAAAAGCGGAGCTTGCTCTTTAAAAACGTAGAGTTCCTGGCAGAATTCAACGGCGCTTAAATCTCGCTCGTATTTTCGAGCCAGATCTGCTCCATACTTTTGCAGTTCTTCAATTGACATTTTTAAAATATTAGTACCATTAAGAAAAGTAAAATTCAAATTCAGCATGGTAGCACAATCAAACCTCTTTTTAATTTCTGATATGATTCGATCAAATACCATCATTATTTCTTTAGAAAATAGTTGAACAGGTTGGAGTGTTTGTAATTCGTCTTCACACATCTCATCGAAATGTTTTTTACGTTTCGAAACTCGTTTGTTTTGCAAAATAGGGTCAACACCACTTTTTTCAGCAACTTCTTCAGCCTCTTTTATCCAATATTCCATTGGATTTTGTCTCATTTTTTGCAAAGTTTTGAGCAGACCATCCATTAGTGCGACGGAACGGGCAAGGATAATATCTTCTTTCTGAATTTCTATATTCACTCGATTGATTTCGTGGAGAATAATCGCCCAAATAGTTAAATTAAGAATAAATTTAAAATTCTTTGTAGCAGTTAAGAGATAACCTGCCTCGTACTTGGCTTCTGAAAAATGAGAAGTTTGCTTAACTTCTTCTAAGGCTTCCGCTATTTCTGGCAAATTATTTAATAGGGCATTCACAGCACATGTTTCGCCGACCATCTCGTCTGACTACTTCCTTTTAAATTTGTTTTAACGTATTTTTTCATAATGTCCCACCTAGTAGTGGACCCAACAAAAAAGGAATAAACTTTTTGAATCAGTCCAAATAAGTTAATAGCTTCCTGGCATGATGAGGCAGAATGAACACCTACAAGATTTAAGGAGTGAGCCAAGCACGGTACGAACTCGGCCAGCTCATTCCTTTCTGCAATCCTGGCTTGTACTCCTTTATGGATGGCCATATTGGACCCATTATCATAAGATTGGCCACGACATTGTCCAATATCTAAATCATCAACTGCCAATTTTTCTAAAATCTGTTGACAAATATCCTCTCCTGTCTTTCCAGCAATTTCTATGAAATCAATGAAACTTTCTTTTATTTCACACACATCGCCAGTTCTTTTTACATATCGAATAACCTGGCTCATTTGTTCTGTATGGGATACATCTGGAGTGCAGTCGAACATTATCGTGTAGTATTTGGCTTCTTTGATGGCATTTTTAACTGTTTTTGCCATTATGTCAATTATTTCATTCTGTATTGTCTTTGATATATATGATACTTGTCCCTGTGTTCTAATTGAAACTTAAGAGTTGAATTATGTTTGGCGAGCAGGGAAATTAATTTCAAGAAGTTACCTTGACTAGGCTGAGGACATTGTGTGATGAGATCGCTAGGAGTCGTGGGACCCGCGAAAAGAAAGGCAGTTTGTGGATAGATACAATACAGCATCCATAACAATACGCAGGATCTGTCTCCATTTTTCTTTCTCTGAGTGAATTACTCTCTCAATGTCTTGATCAATACCCTGGCATGATTTCATTTGCTGTACCGGTCTTTTCCACTTGATCATACACTCTTTGTGCATTTGAGTTGCCTCGTGTTCGGTTAATCTCTCTGAAACTTTTTTCCAATTAATAAACCCTATAGAACACAATGCAGATGTGGCGGTAGAAGACGGTTTCTGGTAAATCTTGCAGCACGTACAAAAAATTGCATTTTTTGTCTTAGAATATATAAGCCAAGATCTTTTAACCCTTTCGCAATTAGCCAACGTCCTGTACCACATAGAAGATGTTAAATGTCTGCCATTGCGTTCAGTAAATCTAAATTCAATGTTTTCGGGGTAATTTTCTGCTAATAATACAGCCTGATTGCTAAAAAAAGACCGTTGTTGGTCAGTCATTTTTTCTACCCCTGGCCAATTGCCTGGGTCCGTCAAATCAAATCCGGTTTTTTGCAGTTCATCCGAATCCGAGTGCGGGGATTTAGATCCTTCGTATTCTGGCTTTGTTTTTTCAAGTTGTTCAGGTTGCTCTTCGCACATCGATAAAGATGGTAAAGTTTGCACTGTGAAATCAGACTGTGAAAAATCTTGATCCGTTTGATCGGGAAAAGAGCGAGAAACATCCTCTAACTGAATATCAACTTCGGAAGTTGCAGCAGATACTGACGGGTCACTCCCTCTGCGAAGCCAATTTTTCATATTATCTGCACATTGTTTTTCCTGCAATTCCTTATATTTTTCCTATATCCCGCTCCCGATAGCTTTTTTCTTGGCGCGCTCATAATTACAACCTGTAAACAAAAATAATGAATTTCCTTGTTCAAACATTTCAATCTAATAAATATTTTTAGTAAATAAATCGAACTATGGCGATTTTTAATTTATCAAAAGTTGGTGGTATTATGGCGCTTTTTTGTGCAAATTTTGGCGATGTTTTCATTTTAAAACCTGGCGACCCTGTTTTAAGCTGCTGCATTGCATTGTTTTGAATTAATAGCTGGAATAAAAAGGCTGTTTAAAACAGCCTGTTTTACTTCTCAGTCATCCGATGGCTGCCATCGTGTAATAGCTAGCGACATCTATAAAATTACATTTTAAGCAGTAAGCGGACAATAATGTGCTTATAAACGGTAGTGTATAGGTAATATATTTAAATCATTATATTGGTTTAACCAGAGACTCCCTTTTCTCTGGGTTTAACCGTTTTGTGAGAACCGTTTCCAGGGAACGTTTAATATAAACAGTTTATCTGTAAATGCTACCATGGACTGCGTATTGTTTCTCTTTTACGGGCGGGCGGGAGTTTTTTGTTACCTGTTTTTTATATTTATTACTTGAAATACTTTATTTTTTTAACATTTGCATTAAAAAAAATTGTTTGGATTCCAAACTTTAAGCCAATTTTCGAGTTGGCAACACTGACTGAAATGGGTCGTAGTGTTTTCTGTTTTTTTAGAAAAGAAGTTGCGTTTACAGAAAACTATTTGTGTATTTGTATTTAAAATTAATAAATCGAGTTATTTTTACAAGAACAAAGACATTAAATATACCTATGTATTTGTAGTTTTATAAATGTTTTGATCTTGGTTTTCACGATTAATTTTAAATATATACGAATCATATATAGGATGGTGGATAAAAGGGGAATAAATAAAACAAGCTTATTTTAATTTTAACAAACTGTAATTCCAATTTAACCCATAGAAGAAGAAAATTTCTACGTAATTAATAATTTTATTTACAGATGGCGCAGATGCACCAGTAAAAATTCGCAATTCTTTACAAATATGACGGTTTTTCTCGAAAAACGCAATGAAATAAGTAATAACGATTATAAATGGAATCATTGTGAACAATGAAAAATTGCATCTGCTAGATGAATGTGCACTTGGTTGCCTACCTTCGTGATTTTTAATTTGTTATATGTTAATATGGGATTATGAATATATGTAGGTACCTACATATTTTAACACAAATTTAACGTTTATACAAGTGTTTTCCTTTTAACGAAGTTTTGTCTACAGAAAACTATAATAAAATATACATATTTACAATAATTGACATTAAACATAATACAAAATTTGCAGTAAACTATTTAAGATCGTTAAAATGCAATTTGTATTTATTTAAATTTTTATTGACTTTAAAATTGACCTGAGATTTAATTTATTTTGCCTAAATTTAAAAATATTTAATCTACCTTAACTATGTTAATTAAAATTAAAATGTAGGTATAAATACCACAATAAATATCTCTTACTTCTAGGACATTTAATCACTGAATAAATAAATCGCTTAAGACATAAACAAAAACCATGAATACAAATTTGCAATCCGAATATGCTTATATTGAACCTCAACCATTCAATAGGTCTTACTCATCGCCAAGAAGACAAATGATTAATCCTGAAGAGGCTGAGCCAGAAGTAGTAGTTCTAGCGAAATTCCACCTGAAGAAAAAAATAACTATTGCCATAGAAATCCGTGAGGAAGTTTAAGCTATGCAGATTTGATTACAAGGGCAATCGAAAGTAATCCTTCTAAGACCCTGGATTTAGCACAAATCTACGACCAGATGGTAAATAATATTTAATATTTTAAAGAAAAAAGTGACAGTGTGAATTCCATTGGTTGAAAAAATTCCATTAGACATAATTTATCATTGCATACAAGATTTATCAAAGTGCAGAACCAGAAAAGGAGTAAATCTTCTTGGTGGATGTTGAATTCCTTAGCACCTGGAAATAATGTTCCAAGGAGATCCAATTCTCTAAGCCTAAATACTAAAGTTAAAAAGAAGGGAAAACTAATGATAAAAAAGTGTTTAAAAAAAGCTTGATTGCTACAAGAACTGCAAGAAACGGATTATGATTATTTAAGACCCAGTTCTAATTCAAATTGTTCCACAGAACAATTAGCAGGTCTCCAGCAAACTTTCAACATATCTCAGGTTTCAAATCAAGGATTAAATATTGACATGAGATGCAATCAAAATCAGCAAAATGTATGGAACCCACATTTAATACACCAAGCACCACCACTGAGCTACACGTGCTGTCCTAATAATCAACAGGTTCAATTTGGTCAGTATATGAATGGAATTCTAGCAAACTACAGACATTCAATATCCTTTCAATTAGAATATCCCAAGCCCTGCAATAATATTAACAATTTATACATCCATACTGTTACGCCAACACAAACAAGTCCATCTTTAGGTACTGATTCTTTAATAACCATAAATCGAAATTGAAAAAAGCTATACCGAAGAAAATTGCGAATCTCCTGCAGAAAGCCAGAATAAAATTAAGTCAAGTACTTTCCTGGATACTTGAGATATTCCCGATAACCTTAATTGCAATGTTGAAGAAGTTTTAAACTACGAGGTAAATACTGGAGACGGTTTAGATTTTAATTTTTCTGATGAACATGGAAATTATTTATCCTATTCTGTGCATTTGTTAAATAATATTGCTTTATTGTGTACATAGGTTTATGTGTAAATATTTAATAAAAATATTTTTGGTGAGTTAATTCATTATTATTTTTTATTTCACAATTCCCAATGGTCGCTTAAATATATATATATATATATATGGGTCATTTCACGTCAAATTTACCGTCAAAATTTAAATTTGTCTGAAATATTTTTTTTTTCGTTTACGACACCAAAAAAAGTGACACGTATTTTTTTGTTTCAAAATTTTATGAATTTTGTTAAAGTTACGATTTTTTTAAATTTCAGTACCAGGAAAAAAGAATTTTAAACATTAGTTTTGGAATAGAATAAGATTTAATAAACTTAAATTTTTTTTCGACTTAATTTTAAGGTTATGCATTGTTTTAAATATTTAAATTAAAAAAATATAATATTTTTTTTAATTCAATTTTTTTAAGCAAATTTTAAAAAAATTAAGCAAATTTTAAAAATTAATAAAAAAAAATGAAAATCGACATTTTTTTTTAAATTTGTAAAATGTGTATTAACTTGTCAAAGTTTGCAGAACATTGTATACAAATTTCAGAATGGACCGTTTAATATCGTATGAAATATTAATAATTTTAGATATCCGCGTTCTTAAAATGAAAGCTGTTACAGAGACATATTTAGTATATCGCAAAATATTGACGATTAACATTCAAAATTACGAACAGAAATTTGAAATTTTACCATTTTATATTTTTTAATGCAATATTAATAAAAATGTACATTCGTTAAAATGGTTAAAGTGATAAGCTAAAATTAAAACTTTATTTATTTTCTTTGGGAGCAGCAGTAAAACAAATAATAATAATATATTATATTATAATTTGTGTTGTAAAATAATAATAATAATAATAATGTGAGTTTAATTTTTATATGATTTTTTTTTATTTTGGAGTAAATTGCATCTCCTGAATAAAAAAATGTAAAATTTTGTCAAATAAAAATTGTTTGCACCCATTTTTTTAACACATGTGTGAAATATCGATGTGCAACTAACCATGAACACTGTTGTACATTTGTTTAAATTATTAATCGGTTTTTAATGGTACAAAAAATATTACAAATTACAACCTTGATGCAATTTTAATTCTAAAATACATATAATTTAATCCAATATAATCTAACCCATCCCTAATTGTAATTTTAATAGCCCATCGTGCTTTATCTTAAATATGCCTCTGTAACAGCCTTCATTTTAAGAGCGCGGATATCTAAAATTATTAATATTTCATACGATATTAAACGGTCCATTCTGAAATTTTTATACAATGTTCTGCAAACTTTGATAAGTTAATACACATTTTAAAAATTAAAAAAAAAAATGTCGATTTTCATTTTTTTTATTAATTTTTAAAATTTGCTTAAAAAAATTGAATTAAAAAAAATATTATTATTTTTTAATTTAAATATTTAAAACAATGCATAACCTTAAAATTAAGCCAAAAAAAATTAAAGTTTATTAAATCTTAGTTTATTCAAAAACTACTGTTTAAAATTCTTTTTTTCTGGTACTGAAATTAAAAAAAAATCGTAACTTTAACATAATTTATAAAATTTTGAAACAAAAAAATACGTGTCACTTTTTTTGTGTCGTAAACGAAAAAAAAAATATTTCAGGCAAATTTAAATTTTGTCGGTAAATTTGACGTGAAATGACCCATATATATATATATATATATATATATATATATATATATATATATATATATATATATATATATATGTAGGACCACTTGACTTCTGGTCTAAACACGTCCCCACTTGGCGTCCGGCTTAATACATAAAAACTAAATACTTTCTTAGCGTCACATAACTTCCATACTAAAGTCGCCAAAAATAAGATTACTTATGAGTCACACGTTATGAAATTGCAACGTCGCTTTCAACCAATTGAACTAAAATAAGAAACCATCCTTATTTAAGCATTTATTTATTCCATTTACAGGTTTAAAATAAAAATAAAAATTTTGTATTTAATAATAAATATTAAATATTCAATTAGTATTATTATAAATACCTATAAGATATTTTAAACAAAATTATTAATGAATTTATTACCTAAAAAATGTTTGCCTTTATATTTATTGTTATATCATTTTTCAAATAAGCACCATTAAAATGTAATATTAAAAATAATAATGCGTTTTTTGTATTAAATATGGCGCGCCTTTTTGGTATTTAATATGCATGTTAAAATTGGTAACTTAAATAATTGCAATTATCGAAAAGTATATTTTTTCTGTGCAAAATATTATTTTTAATTCTCATCCTATTGAGTGATACATAAAATAGGTTAATGCCTTAAAGACTCATGTAATTTTTAATTCTGTAAAAAAGCTGAAGATAAATATTTTTTTACTTTGTGGCTTCACTATTTAATACTCTAAACAAATATTTGATTATTTTTTACATCAGACTTATAACGAAAAAATTTAACCGAATTTTATAAGAAATATTTACACAATAATTTTTAATTTTAGTTACGAAGAAAAATAATTTGTACAGCACATTCACTGATAAATAAACGATTTTATTCGATCCCAATTACTTTAATCAATGCATTTGAAAGAGTGTTGTAAAAATAAATGTATGCAGCTGTAAAAATAATTTATTTAATTACCAAGGATTTTTTGCAGGAAAATTAATTTTTACATGACATGTGATGTAAATATTATTTGTTGCCCCACATGTAGTGCATAAATGAATTTTTACATCACATGTGAAGTAAAAATTATTTTTTTCGTCACATATGATGTAAAAACTATTTTTTCCATCACATGTGGTGCATAAATGAATTTTTACATCACATGCGATGTTAAAATTATTTTTTCCATCCCATGTGGTGCATAAATGAATTTTTACATCACTTGCGATGTTAAAATTATTTTTTACATCACATGTAGTGCATAAATGATTTATTACATCACATGTCATGTATAAATTCATTGTTGGTTGCCTAGCCTCATTGAATGATGGTACTACTGTGTTACAATAAATAATTCCCTAGATTTGGGACCATCACCAAAGGTTGCCAACTTGGTTTAATTTATACTTTATCTAGTACTATTAAAGCTGTTTCATATATAGATGCGAATTGAGATACGAAATACAAAAATTCGCATATCGAAAATCCTATTTCATATACATGCGAACTATTTTTATTAAAAAAATTAGCCAAAGTACGAGGTTTTAATCATCTCTGTAATTTGTATGGTTGGCAACCCTGGGTTTATGCTAAAACTTTTGGCGCCAAACGTAGAAAACCAGAGACAAACAAAGCAGCAAGTGCATGATCATCATCATATATTATATTCCTATAGGAATCTAGGATTATATTCTTTTTCTATGTGCATAATATACCTACATAGAAAGAGAATAAAATTTTACAAAGAAGAAGAAGAAGAATAACCCTTGTAACCTTTATAAGTTATAACCTGTGCCTTGTTTTCTATTTACAATGGAAAGAAATTTGGACAGAGTACTTTCTGTGATAGAACGGAAAGTATTTGAAGCCATTAGACTTATAGAAAATGAGGAATTTTCCCTTAGTTTACAAGTTATAAGTGAGGGTAAAAGAAATTTACTGAGGATTAGAAGTGCCATTAGTGCCGAAACGTTGGAATCCTTAGAAGTTAATTTTAATAAATTGGAACAAATTTGTCAAAGGACTCTTACTACCAACAATGAAAACAGTAATGGTCGCTATTTCGCTCCAAGAATTAAAAATGGTAATTATTAGTAATATATCAAAACTTGTTATAAATAAGAATGTTTCAGGAAGAGGCAGGCCAGCTGTTTTTATAACTAAAGAGCAAATTGAGTTGTTAATAGGTGAAAATTTTACTGCACGACAAATTGCTCAACATTTTAATTGCTCAGAAAAATTGATATATAAAAAATGTTATTCATTTAATATAAAATTGAGAGACAAATATTTTACTGGTACTGATGCAGAACTGGAGGAAGAAATATCAAGATTACATGTTGAATACCCAAACAGTGGAGCTCAGGTTACTGTCAAATAGTCCATTTGCTTGGTTTAATGACTTATTTTAGATGATGACTGCCTACTTAAGAACAAAAGGAAAAGTGGTCCAGAGAAATAAAGTTAGGCGAATATTGAGCCTAATTGACCCAATTGGCACTGCTCGCCGTTGGAGTACAGCAATACGCCGCAGGACATATAAAGTTCCTTCACCAAATTCATTGTGGCATATGGATGCCCATCTTAAGCTAATCCGGTAAAATTAAATCCTACTTTTAAATTTTTAAGTATACTTATCACATTAAATTTTTTTCTTAATAATTTAGCTGGAAATTTGCAATTCACGGTTGCATAGATGGGTATTCCCGATTAATCCTTTATCTAAATTGTACCACTTCAATGACTGCTAGCACTGTAATAGCATCGTTCACTGGAGCTGTAGTGCAATATGGTTTGCCTTCACGGATTCGCTCAGATTTTGGGTATGAAAACCTATTTGTGGCAATGGTAATGAATGCTATACGTGGTCTAAGTAGAGGAAGTCATTTGACAGGACGATCTGTCCACAACCAAAGAATAGAGAGGTTGTGGGTAGATGTTTTCAAGGAGGTTGTGGATTTTTTTTACCGTGAATTTAACGCACTGGAGGATGCTGGATTTCTAAATATTAATAATTTAAAACATTTATATGCCCTTCAAAAGGTTTATGTTAAATTTATAAACGAAAAGCTGGACTTCTTCAGGGAAGCTTGGAATTGCCATAAAATCAGAACAGCAGGTTTTAAATCACCAAGACAATTGTGGTTATCTGGAGTATTGCAAAACGCCAATTCAGAGTACACCGCTTCATCTGAAGTTTTAACAGAACAACCTGATTTATTTACAAGAGTGGTTGAAGCATTTGACATTAATGAAAGGGAAATACCGGCAATTGTTCCAGATGAGGAAGAAGTAACTTCCAACTTAACAGTAGATTTTCAACTGACTGATGATCCACTCGCTTTTGTAGATAATTTCTTGAGTGATAATACCATAGATTATAGGTCAAAGTATTTGAGAATTGCAGCTTTTTTAGATACTATAATGTAAATACGATTTGGCGTATTAGTTCTTTATTTTATGTAAGTAAACAATATGTAAAATAAATCATTTATTAAATAAAAAAAACATAATTTTTTTAAATTCATAAAATATAAATAAAAATAGAAAACAAAACGTTATATAAAAAATAAATAAAAAAAACCTTTGGTAAAAAAGTCACATTGGTACCTAGATTAAAATCTAAACCTATTAAATTAGAGGGCCGAATATTGAAAACAAATTTCATTTTCTAAATTTGCTTCGAACTGAAATTTTAATTCCTGAGAGCTGGAATAAGTCGTTGGTAATTCTAGTACATTTGAGCAGGTGTGGGCTACTGGGTAATCCCCTGCTTTAAAGCTAATTGTAATAAATTCTGGCATATGTGGAGATCCAGTGATAAATTGTAAGAATGTTGCAAGTTTATTTAAAGACATATTTTTTATGTATGTTTTAAAAAAGTAATAAACACGAGCCTGAAAATTATTTAGGTCCTCTGGGTCTGTTTTCAGGGCTTTTAAAATTTTGTCAGGTGTAGGTGCTTGTTGTGCAAATAAAGCGTTCACTTTATTAACACTTAACTCTTCAAAAAAGTTTTCACAAAATAGTGGAATGCCATCTTTTATTAGCTTCAAAAAGTTGTTGCTTTCTAAACATAAAATATTTCTTGCTATAATGTGGAGTTGATCCTCAATTTCGGAGGCTTTGGGCAGTTCTGCAAGCCCAAACGTTGCAAAAAACTCCAACAGTAGATCCTGCTCTATATTAGTCAGTTGATCAAACTTATTTTTTGCTTTAAAAATCAATGACCGTTCTGAAGGAGTCAGAAAAAAGAAGAAATCTTCTAATAATATTTCATTAGGTATATCAGTTTCTGCGGAACTTAATTTTAAAAATACAGTTTTGCAAAGCATCGTAGGAATATATTTTGTTAAAATTATTCCATGGGTTAAAATTCTCCCAATAACTGGAAATTTTTTATCGACGCCTTTTCGCATTTTCGATAATGGTAAAAACGGTACCATTCGGTTTTCCCCTCTAAAAAATTCAAGTACACATTTTTCCCAGAATACCGAGAATAATTCTTTAGTTAGGCCTCCAAAGTCCAGCCCCTGTTCATTTTCAAATGTTACTTTAATCATTTTTTGTACAATAGTTTCATCTTCGTATAATTGCAACATCTCTTCCAAAATATTTTCTCTTCTCATTATCACAGGGAATACTTCGGAGTCTTCATTGTTGACAGGTAAAACAGGGTATTCTATATCAGCTGTGATAGAGATTGAATTGGTTGTAGATTCAATCGAGTCTAAAACAAAAATATAGACGAAATTAATAATAATATATTTATTTTATTGTCCAAGGATCAAGTACAATTTGTACATTTAGATATAGAACTATAGTCACAAAATACAAAGTATTAGAACAGAAAATAATATAAAAAAAACATATTACTAAATTACAGTGATTAAGTAATACAAAAATATAGATTTCTATTTTATTCTATTTACAATAATTCTTTAAGTAGTGTTGCATATCACAGCGTAACAGTTAAAAAACTCATCGACACTATAAAATACTTTTGAAGCTAAGAAAATTGTTAGTTGAACCTTGAACTGCTTAATACTTTCAATGGACTTAAAGTATTCAGGAAGTTTCCTGTAAAGCTTGATACCAATATAGTTAGGGTTATTTTCAAACAGTCTAAGTCTATGCTTAGGGAGACATAAGTCACCATGTCCACGAGTGTTTTTTTGACTAAATTTATGCTAATATTATCAATACCAGTTGAAGTTGAATTTTTCATTTTTTTAATAATAAGCCTGTAATTCTGCTTTACTAATTTGAGTAATCAAAAATGTGTTAAAGACGCTTTTATTTAAGGAACACTTTTGATTATCTATTTTTGTATTACATTGTTTTGGTATGTTTACAAAATATTGATTAAAATATTCTACAATTTTATTGTTGTTTGTAACCAACTCATTATTTGCATTTTTTATTTTATTTATTTTAAGTGCACTTTTATTGCTATTTGTATTTTCTTTTATAAGTTTTCAAGATGCCCCTGATATGTTACTTGAATTTAGTATTTGGTTATCATTATTTATCTGTTTTGCTTTTTTTTGGTATCTCTATATACCTACTTTTTTATATTTTTTGTAATATTTAACATCATTTTGATTATTTGTGTTAATGGATTTGAAGTAAAGTTTTTAATAATATTTTAAATAATTTTTAGAGGGCTTTCCAATTAAACCCCATTATAAATCACAAGTCACATTCTCCACTTTTTGTGAAAAATGCACATACTTCCACACATACAGTGTGACCCATTTGTTTGCGACTCACCCCTGTAAAATCTTTATTTATTGTACGATTTTAACCGAATTTGTTTTTATCTAGTTTGGGCTACCATAAGTGAATTGACTTTACTTACCTAAATACTGTTGGCTGTGTAATGTTGTATCCTCGGCGAATAACTCGTTTGATATAACTGTTGAAGATGACGCTGCCAAACTGATGTCATTGATCGAGTCTATTAAAATTTGGTTGTTATATTATTACCGTAACTTTATAAAACATGCAAGCTTTATGTACCTGTTACTTGAAAAGATTGACTTCCAACAATTGTTAATGGTGATAGGTTTGTATTGTTATTGCGTCGTATTGGTGATAAAACTTCACCATCAGAGTTATCACTATTTTGTTCAATTGTAACTCTTCTCCTGGACACAACAGTATTTCTTTGATTGGCTCTAACGCGAACTTGTAAAGATTTTTCAAAATCATGATCAGAGTCAGGATTTGTTTCTTCAGTATTCGTAACTCTTCTTCTGGAAACAACAGTATTTCTTTGATTTGCTCTAACGCGAACTTGTTGTAAAGATTGTTCAAAATCATGATCAGAGTCAGGATTTGTTTCTTCAGTATTTGTAACTCTTCTTCTGGAAACAACAGTATTTCTTTGATTTGCTCTAACGCGAACTTGTGGTAGAGATTGTTCAAAATCATGATCAGAGTCAGGACTTGTTTCTCCAGAATTCGTAGCACCTCTATTATTCGTAAAATTATTATCCTAAAACAAAACCAAGGTAAAATATTCTGCAGTTTTAGAATAGGAACTTACTCTTTCAGAAATTATATCTACATCTGGATTATAAAACATATCTCTGTTTGGAATTAAAATAACCATTCCCCGGGGCACTTCCTGGTGGAGTTCTTCTAAAGTATTTGCAGTAAATATTGTTATTTTTTTTTCTTTACTGCATTTTCCAAATCGAAAACCCACGTTTTCTAATTGAACACTGTCATATACTTCACATATAAATCGTTGAACTCTAGCGAATGACCAATGATTTTTAAGTTGTACTATTTTCTTTCCTGAAATAAATGTGACTTTTTTAAAAGCATGACGTGAAAAATTGTAATTGAAATATGTGAGAAAAGTAGTACAATTTATGTTAATTTACCTTAATTACAAAAATTACATAATGATGGAATGCAATAGCAAATTTAAAGTTTCGGTCGTGTCATTTTGGTAATTAAGGTAAAGTCACACTAAATGTACCTACCATTTTTTTTGACACAATCATACAGTTTTTTTTTTTTGGTTTATTGTCCTTTTCCTCTAAGGATAATTAGCCAGCTCATTTAGTTTTTAAGTTTGTGTTTTTACACCCAAGGCTGTGACCGGGAATCGAACCCGGTACCGTGGCGCAGATTGATTACCGCTCTGTAGCTTTAACCCACTGCGCCATCCTCGGCCCCCAATCATACAGTTCGTTTTTTTTTTATTTGGAATTTGACGTCAAAATCTAGGGACCCTAAATTTATAATTGGCTGCATTGACTCTGGTCTAGTGAAAAGATCCTTAAGGGTTTTTATTCGGAATTTGACATTTAATTAACTCTAGTTTAGTGGAGAACTCTGTGGAGAATATAATTATGGTTATGTTATAATAGACCTATCCCATAAAACGGACTTTTGGATAGCGCGTGCGTGAAAAGGCACGTCGTCTTTTTTTAATTATATAAAAGAGAAAGAGATACCACTCTTCTTCAGGCACGCGCTATCCAAAAGTCTGTTTTATGGGATAGGTCTATTCTGACAGTTAAATGACAATTTATTTAAAAATAAGGGCATGCTGTGTTAAGGGCTGGAACAGGAGTACCAATTTTAAATATTAAAAATACCAAAGTATATAAATAACATAATCAAATGTGTCCAATTCCGAAGAGACCTATATATTCCACACCTAAAAACCTATATTCACAAAAAATACATACATTTCGTATTTTTTTTATTCGGAATTTGACACATTTTATTATGTTGGTACTCTATGTCAATATACTTTGGTAATTTTTTTAAAAATTGGTACAGTCTTATGCAAATAAAAAGCGTATATGGCGAGTTGTGTTATAAAAAATACAGTGCCGTAAATGTAAACCAGCTGTCAGTTAACTGTCGGCTGGTTTACATTTACTTTTATTAAAATTATTTTTTTATATTTTCGATGTTTCAAAATTTTCACTCATTATTCCACAAATTTGAGCCACCCTGTATGTATTTTTTTATAGGTACACAAAATAGTATATTATTATACAAGCATATAACGAGGGCTATTATTCACGAAGGTTAAGTTTATGTCACGAGCGTAGAGAGTGGCATAATTAGCCTGAGTGAATAATAGCTCATTATATGGGAGTATAATACTATACTTTTTCCACGACTAATATAAAATAAAATACCTATTTTAAACAACTTTATTTATTATAACCTATTTGACATTAACAAAACTAAAATAACGTTTCAAATTGACAATTTAAGGTTTGCTTGTCTGTCAAATAAGCCATTAATGGCTTATTTACTTGAAATAGTCTATTTAATGTTAAATTTTTATTCAATTGCATTAAAAAAACATATTAAAGTTATACTTTAACAAGACTTTTATAATTTGTATACAGTTAGCTAATAGACCTATCCCATAAAACAGACTTTTGGATAGCGCGTGCCTGAAGAAGAGTGGTATCTCTTTCTCTTTTATATAATTAAAAAAAGACGACGTGCTTTTCACGCACGCGCTATCCAAAAGTCCGTTTTATGAGATAGGTCTATTGCCTGGCTATAATTGCCTAGACCAACTGACCAGTGAATAATGATTATTCACCGCTATTATTCACTGTGTGAAATATAACTCATTATCATTTTACTTTAGAAAACTCATTTATAAAGTACTGTCACTTTCAAACTTAAGCTTAAAATTTTTGTGGTTTTAACAATCATAAACATTAAATATTGTATACCAAAATTTCAGTCTTGAGTTGCTCTTTTATAATAACTATGTTATAATATTACATAGGGCTGAGTTTCAAAAATAAAAATAAAAATCTGGGTGTGCAAAGTAACCCCCTGGTTGCGGGTAACTTTGTCTCAAAGGCTATTTTCCGTATAAAATTAACTCAATATTTTATTTTATTTTATTTTTATTAGACACATGTTAGCAGCGACATATATCTATTGCACGGGATTCCAAATGATTGCGCCTAATAAAGAAATTATAGCGCGTGTATTTCTAAGAGCGCGTTCGAAAACTCGCAAGAGTGCACTCTGGATACACTCCAAGTATACCTTGCCCGTTTGAATTCTCTGGTATATACCTAGATATATGCAACTGTCAGCTGTTTGAAAACAGCAAGTATATGCCCAGAGTGCACTCTCGGTTGTCCAAGCTTTAGACTTGGTTAAGTTTTACCCGTCATGCGCATAGGGTACCTACATCAAACAATAAATTGAATTTACCTTCATATAATTTATTAATATCCATTTAAAATTTAATAAAAAAAAGAAAAACAGTTAAATAAAAGATTTTATTTAAAATAAATTATTTAAAAAATATCAATTCTAAAAAACAAAACAAAATCTATCACAAAAACTTGAATAAACCATATAACTAAAGGGTTCAAATTCAATAATTTAATATTTATATGTATTCAGTCAAATAACAAGCAAAACCAATTGATTTTAGAACACAACAACATAAAGTTTATAGATATATGCTCCGCGGCGTTCGAAAATAACAAGGAGGTCAGATATAATGTAAAGTCACGTGATTATATACCTATCCTTATACCATATCCAAAGTCCACTCTCATTTCGAACGCACTCTAAGAGTTATACACTGATGCAATATAAACAATTTTAAAGTGTATAAATCCCATTAATTTCCTTAAAACACTAATTTTCCTGTAATATAAACTCAATAGAATATTTATATATATTTTCTCTTCTCATTATCACAGGGAATACTTCGGAGTCTTCATTGTTGACAGGTAAAACAGGGTATTCTATATCAGCTGTGATAGAGATTGAATTGGTTGTAGATTCAATCGAGTCTAAAACAAAAATATAGACGAAATTAATAATAATATATTTATTTTATTGTCCAAGGATCAAGTACAATTTGTACATTTAGATATAGAACTATAGTCACAAAATACAAAGTATTAGAACAGAAAATAATATAAAAAAAAACATATTACTAAATTACAGTGATTAAGTAATACAAAAATATAGATTTCTATTTTATTCTATTTACAATAATTCTTTAAGTAGTGTTGCATATCACAGCGTAACAGTTAAAAAACTCATCGACACTATAAAATACTTTTGAAGCTAAGAAAATTGTTAGTTGAACCTTGAACTGCTTAATACTTTCAATGGACTTAAAGTATTCAGGAAGTTTCCTGTAAAGCTTGATACCAATATAGTTAGGGTTATTTTCAAACAGTCTAAGTCTATGCTTAGGGAGACATAAGTCACCATGTCCACGAGTGTTTTTTTGACTAAATTTATGCTAATATTATCAATACCAGTTGAAGTTGAATTTTTCATTTTTTTAATAATAAGCCTGTAATTCTGCTTTACTAATTTGAGTAATCAAAAATGTGTTAAAAACGCTTTTATTTAAGGAACACTTTTGATTATCTATTTTTGTATTACATTGTTTTGGTATGTTTACAAAATATTGATTAAAATATTCTACAATTTTATTGTTGTTTGTAACCAACTCATTATTTGCATTTTTTATTTTATTTATTTTAAGTGCACTTTTATTGCTATTTGTATTTTCTTTTATAAGTTTCCAAGATGCCCCTGATATGTTACTTGAATTTAGTATTTGGTTATCATTATTTATCTGTTTTGCTTTTTTTTGGTATCTCTATATACCTACTTTTTTATATTTTTTGTAATATTTAACATCATTTTGATTATTTGTGTTAATGGATTTGAAGTAAAGTTTTTAATAATATTTTAAATAATTTTTAGAGGGCTTTCCAATTAAACCCCATTATAAATCATGTCATACATGATACAATTTTTGAATTTTAATTTTTCTTAAGGAATAGCGGTAATGAATTGAGGGGTGTAGTCACAAGTCACATTCTCCACTTTTTGTGAAAAATGCACATACTTCCACACATACAGTGTGACCCATTTGTTTGCGACTCACCCCTGTAAAATCTTTATTTATTGTGCGATTTTAACCGAATTTGTTTTTATCTAGTTTGGGCTACCATAAGTGAATTGACTTTACTTACCTAAATACTGTTGGCTGTGTAATGTTGTATCCTCGGCGAATAACTCGTTTGATATAACTGTTGAAGATGACGCTGCCAAACTGATGTCATTGATCGAGTCTATTAAAATTTGGTTGTTATATTATTACCGTAACTTTATAAAACATGCAAGCTTTATGTACCTGTTACTTGAAAAGATTGACTTCCAACAATTGTTAATGGTGATAGGTTTGTATTGTTATTGCGTCGTATTGGTGATAAAACTTCACCATCAGAGTTATCACTATTTTGTTCAATTGTAACTCTTCTCCTGGACACAACAGTATTTCTTTGATTGGCTCTAACGCGAACTTGTAAAGATTTTTCAAAATCATGATCAGAGTCAGGATTTGTTTCTTCAGTATTCGTAACTCTTCTTCTGGAAACAACAGTATTTCTTTGATTTGCTCTAACGCGAACTTGTTGTAAAGATTGTTCAAAATCATGATCAGAGTCAGGATTTGTTTCTTCAGTATTTGTAACTCTTCTTCTGGAAACAACAGTATTTCTTTGATTTGTTCTAACGCGAACTTGTGGTAGAGATTGTTCAAAATCATGATCAGAGTCAGGACTTGTTTCTCCAGAATTCGTAGCACCTCTATTATTCGTAAAATTATTATCCTAAAACAAAACCAAGGTAAAATATTCTGCAGTTTTAGAATAGGAACTTACTCTTTCAGAAATTATATCTACATCTGGATTATAAAACATATCTCTGTTTGGAATTAAAATAACCATTCCCCGGGGCACTTCCTGGTGGAGTTCTTCTAAAGTATTTGCAGTAAATATTGTTATTTTTTTTTCTTTACTGCATTTTCCAAATCGAAAACCCACGTTTTCTAATTGAACACTGTCATATACTTCACATATAAATCGTTGAACTCTAGCGAATGACCAATGATTTTTAAGTTGTACTATTTTCTTTCCTGAAATAAATGTGACTTTTTTAAAAGCATGACGTGAAAAATTGTAATTGAAATATGTGAGAAAAGTAGTACAATTTATGTTAATTTACCTTAATTACAAAAATTACATAATGATGGAATGCAATAGCAAATTTAAAGTTTCGGTCGTGTCATTTTGGTAATTAAGGTAAAGTCACACAAAATGTACCTACCATTTTTTTTGACACAATCATACAGTTTTTTTTTTTGGTTTATTGTCCTTTTCCTCTAAGGATAATTAGCCAGCTCATTCAGTTTTGAAGTTTGTGTTTTTACACCCAATGCTGTGACCGGGAATCGAACCCGGTACCGTGGCGCAGATTGATTACCGCTCTGTAGCTTTAACCCACTGCGCCATCCTCGGCCCCCAATCATACAGTTCGTTTTTTTTTTATTTGGAATTTGACGTCAAAATCTAGGGACCCTAAATTTATAATTGGCTGCATTGACTCTGGTCTAGTGAAAAGATCCTTAAGGGTTTTTATTCGGAATTTGACATTTAATTAACTCTAGTTTAGTGGAGAACTCTGTGGAGAATATAATTATGGTTATGTTATAATAGACCTATCCCATAAAACGGACTTTTGGATAGCGCGTGCGTGAAAAGGCACGTCGTCTTTTTTTAATTATATAAAAGAGAAAGAGATACCACTCTTCTTCAGGCACGCGCTATCCAAAAGTCTGTTTTATGGGATAGGTCTATTCTGACAGTTAAATGACAATTTATTTAAAAATAAGGGCATGCTGTGTTAAGGGCTGGAACAGGAGTACCAATTTTAAATATTAAAAATACCAAAGTATATAAATAACATAATCAAATGTGTCCAATTCCGAAGAGACCTATATATTCCACACCTAAAAACCTATATTCACAAAAAATACATACATTTCGTATTTTTTTTATTCGGAATTTGACACATTTTATTATGTTGGTACTCTATGTCAATATACTTTGGTAATTTTTTTAAAAATTGGTACAGTCTTATGCAAATAAAAAGCGTATATGGCGAGTTGTGTTATAAAAAATACAGTGCCGTAAATGTAAACCAGCTGTCAGTTAACTGTCGGCTGGTTTACATTTACTTTTATTAAAATTATTTTTTTATATTTTCGATGTTTCAAAATTTTCACTCATTATTCCACAAATTTGAGCCACCCTGTATGTATTTTTTTATAGGTACACAAAATAGTATATTATTATACAAGCATATAACGAGGGCTATTATTCACGAAGGTTAAGTTTATGTCACGAGCGTAGAGAGTGGCATAATTAGCCTGAGTGAATAATAGCTCATTATATGGGAGTATAATACTATACTTTTTCCACGACTAATATAAAATAAAATACCTATTTTAAACAACTTTATTTATTATAACCTATTTGACATTAACAAAACTAAAATAACGTTTCAAATTGACAATTTAAGGTTTGCTTGTCTGTCAAATAAGCCATTAATGGCTTATTTACTTGAAATAGTCTATTTAATGTTAAATTTTTATTCAATTGCATTAAAAAAACATATTAAAGTTATACTTTAACAAGACTTTTATAATTTGTATACAGTTAGCTAATAGACCTATCCCATAAAACAGACTTTTGGATAGCGCGTGCCTGAAGAAGAGTGGTATCTCTTTCTCTTTTATATAATTAAAAAAAGACGACGTGCTTTTCACGCACGCGCTATCCAAAAGTCCGTTTTATGAGATAGGTCTATTGCCTGGCTATAATTGCCTAGACCAACTGACCAGTGAATAATGATTATTCACCGCTATTATTCACTGTGTGAAATATGACTCATTATCATTTTACTTTAGAAAACTCATTTATAAAGTACTGTAAACACGAGTGGCTTTAGCTCACTTTCAAACTTAAGCTTAAAATTTTTGTGGTTTTAACAATCATAAACATTAAATATTGTATACCAAAATTTCAGTCTTGAGTTGCTCTTTTATAATAACTATGTTATAATATTACATAGGGCTGAGTTTCAAAAATAAAAATTAAAATCTGGGTGTGCAAAGTAACCCCCTGGTTGCGGGTAACTTTGTCTCAAAGGCTATTTTCCGTATAAAATTAACTCAATATTTTATTTTATTTTATTTTTATTAGACACATGTTAGCAGCGACATATATCTATTGCACGGGATTCCAAATGATTGCGCCTAATAAAGAAATTATAGCGCGTGTATTTCTAAGAGCGCGTTCGAAAACTCGCAAGAGTGCACTCTGGATACACTCCAAGTATACCTTGCCCGTTTGAATTCTCTGGTATATACCTAGATATATGCAACTGTCAGCTGTTTGAAAACAGCAAGTATATGCCCAGAGTGCACTCTCGGTTGTCCAAGCTTTAGACTTGGTTAAGTTTTACCCGTCATGCGCATAGGGTACCTACATCAAACAATAAATTGAATTTACCTTCATATAATTTATTAATATCCATTTAAAATTTAATAAAAAAAAGAAAAACAGTTAAATAAAAGATTTTATTTAAAATAAATTATTTAAAAAATATCAATTCTAAAAAACAAAACAAAATCTATCACAAAAACTTGAATAAACCATATAACTAAAGGGTTCAAATTCAATAATTTAATATTTATATGTATTCAGTCAAATAACAAGCAAAACCAATTGATTTTAGAACACAACAACATAAAGTTTATAGATATATGCTCCGCGGCGTTCGAAAATAACAAGGAGGTCAGATATAATGTAGTCACGTGATTATATACCTATCCTTATACCATATCCAAAGTCCACTCTCATTTCGAACGCACTCTAAGAGTTATACACTGATGCAATATAAACAATTTTAAAGTGTATAAATCCCATTAATTTCCTTAAAACACTAATTTTCCTGTAATATAAACTCAATAGAATCGCTTAATTGACAGGTTTACACCAACAAATTATAAATGTTAATTTTATCGAGCGCGAAAAGATTTTTCATAAAAAGGTTAGTCACCTGCGGGGTGCAAAGCCACCTGTGTTTACGGGTATATATTATAAGGTTGGAAAGGGTCTAAAATTGCTCCTTGTGGCTTGTAATAATTGGGATGTGCGTTCTTGCCGTACGGATGCTCTGGCTGCATTTGCAATAATTGACAACGTATTTTCGTCGCGTGGATTCATCTAAAAAATTAACATAATATGTATATAAAAAACAATACCAATTACCAAAAACTTTACCATACAACAATTTTCATTATTAAATACCACTTTTACTTACATTTTTTATTTCCTACTCGTTGCACGTTGCCATATAACAAACACATATATTACATTATGTAGGTATATTATGCACATAAAAAAAGAATATAATCCTAGATTCCTATAGGAATATATGATGATCATGCACTTGCTGCTTTGTTTGTCTCTGGTTTTCTACGTTTGCCGCCAATAGTTTTAGCATAAACCCAGGGTTGCCAACCATACAAATTACAGAGATGATTAAAACCTCGTACTTTGGCTAATTTTTTTAATAAAAATAGTTCGCATATATATGAAATAGGATTTTCGAAATGCGAATTTTTGTATTTCGTATCTCAATTCGCATCTATATATAAAACAGCTTTAATAGTACTAGATAAAGTATAAATTAAACCAAGTTGGCAACCCTTGGTGATGGTCCCAAATCTAGGGAATTATTTATTGTAACACAGTAGTACCATCATTCAATGAGGCTAGGCAACCAACAATGAATTTATGCATGACATATGTGATGTAATAAATCATTTATGCACTACATGGTATGTAAAAAATAATTTTAACATCGCATGTGATGTAAAAATTCATTTATGCACCACATGGAATGGAAAAAATAATTTTAACATCGCATGTGATGTAAAAATTCATTTATGCACCACATGTGATGGAAAAAATAATTTTTACATCTTATGTGACGAAAAAAATAATTTTTACTTCACATGTGATGTAAAAATTCATTTATGCACTACATGTGGGGCAACAAATAATATTTACATCACATGTCATGTAAAAATTAATTTTCCTGCAAAAAATCCTTGGTATTAAATAATTTTTACAGCTGCATACATTAATTTTTAAAACACTCTTTCAAATGTATTGAGTAAAGTAATTGGGACCGAATAAAATCATTTATTTATCAGTGAAGATGCTGTCCAAATTATTTTTTTTCATAACTAAAATGAAAAATTATTGTGTAAATATTACTTATAAAATTCGGTTACATTTTTTCGTTATACGTCTAAAGTAAAAAAATAATTAAATATTTGTTTAGAGTATTAAATAGTAGATCCACAAGGTAAAAAAATATTTAATCTTCAGCTTTTTAACAGAATTAAACATTACATTAGTCTTTAAGGCATTAACGTATTTTATGTGCCACTCAATAGAATAAGAATTAAAAATAATATTTTGCACAGAAAAAATATACTTTTCGATAATTGCAATTATTTAAGTTACCAATTTTAACATGCATATTAAATACCAAAAATATGCGCCTAGGTATTATCCATGGATTAAATGGTAATTTGGTTTGATTTTCCACGCGCCGTTTTGCTATTTATTAATTTTTACATCACTTGATATCGTTAAAAACTTAAATACCAAAAAGGCGCGCCATAATTAAATGTATTTTAGTTAATTTGAAATATTTAACATTTTTTATTAGGTATATAAATTACAAACAAATGCTTTTATTACTTCCCACTTGCGGTCTTTAAAAAGGTCCGCATTCTGCTCTATCAAAGCCAATACTTCTTTTTGTTTAGGTGGAATCCTTTTCTTTATATGTTTAAAAAAAAAAAATTATGGAAACTTTTTTTTCTTCGGGAGACCAAGTTTTTCTAATTATTTTTTTCCTTTTTATTTTGTTTGTGTTAAGTTCATCTGTACTACTGCCTTCTAAAATTTCGCCTTCTACAAATCCTTCACTATCACTTCCACTTTCCACTGTTTCAACAAACGTATAATCTACATCTAATTCATCCAATTTACGCCCCTTATGCTCAATTGAGTTCTTTTGGGCCATGACTAAAATATTTGAAACCTTTGCCGTTTGGTATATATCCGACGGTAATCTATACCATTCATTATGGGTTTTAGATGTATGGCCCATAAATGTTGCGAGTTGCTCCCGCTCTCCGTTGTCCATCTTTAATATTTGGGCAATTGTTGCTAGATGTTTTCGTAGTTTCGTCGATGTTAGCGAAGATGTCTTATTTGGGTCTCCTAATGCTAACCCTGCATGTTTTCGAAAGACATGATACCCACTGATGCAATTGTCAGATCCACATTGCGCAAAAAGATAGGGGTTGTAGGAAGAAAAGAAGTTATTTCGGCATTTTACAATTAGATCAAGTCCTTCTTGAGTTAACTTGTCAATGAAAACTGGTACACCCTGCCCTCGTTTTCCTTTTTTTACTATTCTTTTAATATTCTTTTATAGAATAGTATATATACACATTATAATGTGCGATTAGTATAATGAAATTTATTTTTAAATGTATTTAGTGAAGTTGGCCATCTGTTGATAACATTTGTTTTGTATTAAAAGTCTACTGATTAAAATAAATAAATAAATGCTCATTTATTTTATATTAAATTATAAAATTTTAAATGTAATTGCTCATACAATATTTATGGCATTAATTTATTATTTGCAAGTTTTAAATCGATATAATTAATTTGATCGAAATATTTGTACTTATTTAAAAAAGTAAATCTCTAAGAAGAATTAATGCAAACCTATCTATTTATAACTTGTTTATATTAACGACACCGTTGTCAAATTTGCTTTTCATTTAAGGGCGCTTGGTAAACCTAATATTGAAAAGAATGTTATATACACAAGGCGATAGTAGTGGCACTCTAACGCAAACCCTTGAATTAAAATGTAAACAGAATTCATTAAACGACCAAGTTAAACTCTTTTTAAAATTTAGTTTTTCTGCATCTCACAGCCATCTAGCGCTTATTGGTAAATGTTTTTGGTAGAGTCCAGTCGGCGTCCGTATAACGGACGCCCAGTGACCAAAGGACGCCGTTTATATATATATATATATATATATATATATATATAAACAAGATACACAAGAAGTCCGAACTTGTATACAAATATTTTCCTAAAATAAGAGGTAGCTGGGGTTTCGTTTATTGTTTGATTTGTACCGAAACAGCAGACGTCAGTAAGTATCGACAATCAGCGCCTCTGGTGGTGAAAAAGAAAAACCTATTTTGTGGGATTTAGTGGGCTGATTTTGGCACCCCCGTTAAGTTCAGACTCCTTGTGTAGGCTCCATGGTATTGCATATGAATTATGTCATAGAAATACGACCACCCCAATATTACAAGAAAGCATGGTAATATTTGAAAATTTTGTTCACTTCGGTTAAAAATTAGAATTTAGGTGAAATAGGTAAAATCACACCATTTTAGGTAATGTAGTCAGGTCCGGGACGGAAATAATAACTTTTCCTAATTTATAAACTTTATTTTTTAACTGGTGTTGCCAACCTTAAAGAACTAACTAACAAAAATGGAAACTACATTACCGATAGTAACGAAGGTATATACCGGACAGTCTTGCCAGAATGTATAAGTTTTTTCTACAGTAGTAAAATTTAGGTCCATTTTTCTTAAAAATACTAGTTTGTGGTTCTACTTTATATGAGTACATTTTAGCCTTAAGACCTACAAATTCAGTCATAATTTTACCGCAATTCTCATCTTTCATAAGTCCCAACTCGTTTTTATTTAATTGTTGAATTTTATATACATTATTTTTTGGATATTCCGATGTATCAAATTTTTGTGGAAAACGTTTTATAATATCATATACATCAATATTAGTAATTTCATAAATTAAACTATCTGTATCTGTATACAACAAATTTGAATTGTTTGGAATTTCTTTTTTTATGAAATTGTAATGAAAATCGTAAAGAAATGTTTTTGAAATATCTTAAATGGAAATGCCTGCATAAATTGGTTTATTTATGGTAACTTCAATTTTTTTTAATTCTATTATAATTATATTTTCATCTATAATAACAGCATTATGAAAATTGGGTTTTGCAATATATTTTTTTGCACTATGCCAATTATTCACAATTTTTATGTCTATGTTTTCGCACATTTTCTAGAGTCTTTCCAAATATGGCGTTGATTAACAGCTTATAATAATTTTGTTCAGATTTGAAAATAGATTTTTTCTCAACTCTATGTTTAGGGAAATGTACTTTTCTAACCATGGAGCTTGTTTAAATTTTACCATAGCTTGCTTTAGTAAAACATAATGAATAACATATTTTTCTATATTATTTAATGTTGTTAAAAGTTTGGTTTGTTTTGATTTTGAATTTTCTGGAACCAAATGCTCGGCACAAAATGGAAAGTCTTTATGCAAACTGTGAAGGTGGCTGGGATATTCAAGATCTACCTCTAAAATATAACCAAAATCAGAGTTATTTTCGGGTAGATACTGGGTCATTGACCTGCCATATAAATTATTGATATCGAATAAAATAAGATAATTATCGGGTGAAGAAGGATCATAGTCGGTCATATATTTATTATTTGCCTTAAAATATCTTTTGATTTGTACCGAAACAGCAGACGTCAGTAAGTATCGACAATCAGCGCCTCTGGTGGTGAAAAAGAAAAACCTATTTTGTGGGATTTAGTGGGCTGATTTTGGCACCCCCGTTAAGTTCAGACTCCTTGTGTAGGCTCCATGGTATTGCATATGAATTATGTCATAGAAATACGACCACCCCAATATTACAAGAAAGCATGGTAATATTTGAAAATTTTGTTCACTTCGGTTAAAAATAAGAATTTAGGTGAAATAGGTAAAATCACACCATTTTAGGTAATGTAGTCAGGTCCGCTCTTTAGGGAGGTAAGTAACCTATGGTTTTATGTTTTATAAAACAATGCATATGCATAATAAATCATAAATTAAAATGTTACCATTCTATTGTAATAAGTTTTTTTTGTATAAATAATAGATTCGGTGAGGGAGAGAATTTGGCCGCAGAAGAGGCCGAGGAATTGGCGGCAGAGGTCGTGGTGGCAGTGGCGACAGGGGTCGTGTCGACAGGGGCCGTGTCTACAGGGGCCTCGGCCGTAGCGACAGAGGTCGTGGCGGCAGGAGCCGAGGGGGCAGCAGCAGCTTTGGGGGCGGTGGCCATGGGGACGGTGGCGGTGAAGGCGGAATTGTGGCGTAAGTTTACATAATCATGTTTAAACATGCCCAATTAATCTGATTTTTATTATTATTTTAGCGGATTATCGTATACCACCGTCACACCTGGGTTTGAAAATAAAAAAAACTTCTTTTCTTGTAGTGATTAGTTACCTCCCGCGTTACCAGATTCTGCCAAAAAAAGATTACCTAGTAATAATAAATAAAACTTTGTAACAATGAATCTCTTGATTATTAATATTTTTAAATATACCTGGTGAGTTTTTTGAAGTGATACCAGGGGATATTTCGAAAACGGTTTTAAAATTTTTAAACATATTTTTGACACCTACTCCCTTTCCCTTTTGAGGGGCGGGGGGTAACTTTGGATCATGTACTTTTTTAAATTCGAATCTACGAAAAAACTAGGTATATGGCAACATTTTTGATTAGCGCTTTTGGTTTATTGAATTATGATTTATTAGATTATAAGATACTAAAAAATATTAACAATTAAATTTCAACTAATTTATCGTCTTTCATTTTTGAGAAATTCTTTAAAATGTCCCCCACTTCCAAACAAATTCTCACTATTCTTCTAAATGAATTTATACACTTGATAAATAAATTAAAATTATTGTTTAGTATTTTGAAATCTAATAAATCATAATTCCGTAAGCGAAAGCGCAAAACAATTATTTTTTTGCACACATACATTGTTTTTACATAGATATTTCATCATCCTCATTAAAAATCCAAAAGAAAAGAGGGTAGATGTCAAAAATATATTTAAATTAAATTTTTATAAAAATTTCACAATAAAATTTAAAACCGTTTTCAAAATATCCCCTTGTAACACTTTAAAAAACTCACCCGGTATAAAAATAAATTGTTTAAAAATTTAAATTCTTTTAATTTAGTAGCTTTAATTAGTAACGTACTAATTTAAAAAAAAACTTAAGGCTTCCAACAGTGCCTTAATACCTAAGGTTAATTAAATACCTAAATAGCTAAATAGCCATTTTATTCAACACATCGTATAAGTGTTCTTCTAATAAGTTTTTCTAAGGAATCTGTTATGAACGCTGGGTTATTTTCATTCAAATTATTTATTTCATTCCGTATCAAATCTTTAAGATGATTAAGGTTTTCTATTTGGTGGCTGTATACACGGTTTTTTAAATAACCCCAAAGAAACGCATTCATAGGTGTCAAATCGGGGCTGTTTGCGGGCCATTTAATTGGCGTATTTCTTCCGATCCCTTTAGGAAACATCTCATTTAGGTGATAAAGCACATTGCGAATATTGTCAGGGGGTGCTCCATCCTGTTGAAAAATATCTTGTAACATATTTAAAGGCAAATCGTCTAAATATTCTTCCAACTTGTTTTCCAAGAAATCTAAATAGCGGGCTCCATTTAAAACCGTATCAAAAAAATACGGACCAATAACTCGATCGCCTAGAATACCACACGGTTTGTCGCCCTTGGAACTTAAATTCCCTATAAGAATGTGTATTCTCTCTAGCCCATTCTCTAGTATTTTTTCGGTTAAACAGGCCACTCATAGAAAAGGTAGACTCGTCAGTCCATAAAACTGTTTTCAAAAAATTGTTGTTTGTATTAATTATTCTATATAAAACCACTTGGCAAAATATGACCCGATCATCTTTTTGCAGTTGGGTAAGCTTTGTAGTGGGTTTAATCTTATATGGCTTTAAATCCCATTTTTTAAGCGTTCTTTGGACTTTTCCATATGAAGTTTGCTGAATATTTTCTTCTGTTTCTCCTAATGGCTTTGAAATGTTTCTTTATGGAATTGTTTGTGTCGCCAGATGGATCTGTCGAAGTAGCCATAATCGCCAAATTATTTTTGAGCGGGAAATTTGAATATATAAATTTTTGCCACTCACACGTACTTATATAAAAACAAAAAAAATCGATTTATGAACAGAGAATTAATATTTT